TTTGGCGGGTCCGGGCTGGGGATTCGAACCCGCCACCTTAGGTGTACGTGGCTGGCGCCTTAGCCGGTTGAGCTATAGGTGCCGAGCCTCCACTTTGATTTTTAAAAATTTGTTACTTATTTAGCAGAGATTTATATTAAGATACAAATAGGCTTTGTCAATAGATAATCTTTTATGAGAAAATGTTGTTCATTTTTTTTCTCTTTTTGTTTTGTTTTACTGGGCCTGAGCTGAGTTCAAACCCACCAGCCCTGTGGGTACCGCCATATGAGAAAATTTTCTAGTTAAGCTTCTGGGAATGTTGCCTTTGAGGTTTCTTTTGGGTTTTTTTGGGCAGTAGTGATTTAGTTAGGCCTTGCCAGAGTAGTCCAAAAGTTTTTATAAATTAAAGTATTATGCTCAAATGTAGCAGGCATTCAGAAAATATTGATCTAAACAGTATTTGATACTAGAAAGAAAATCTTTCTCTTGCAGTCTGGATGTGGATAGTGAAGCTGATAAACTACTGGGATTAGGACAGAAACATCTGGTGATGGGTGATATTCCGGCAGCTGTTAATGCATTCCAGGAAGCAGCCAATCTTTTGTAAGTACTCTGTGTTTCCCTATGATGTAATATTATGTTCCTAGTAATTCTTGAGTTACATTTAAAAAGTTGTTTTAAGGGAGAAAAGCACAAAGAGCAAGAGTTTTAAAATATTTCATTTGACTATAATAGCCGGCCGTAGTGGCGGGTCCCAGCTATTTGGGAGGCTGAGGTAAGAGGATCGCTTAAGCCAGTGGTTCTCAACCTCCTAATGCCACGGCCCTTTAATACAGTTTCTATGGGTACTGACTTGCAGGTTGAGAATTGCTGGCTGAAGCCCAAAACTTTGAGTTTGCTGTGAGCCATGACAACACAGCATTCTACCAAGGACAACATAATGAGATTGTCTCCAAAATAAAAAAAAAAGTTCTCATGTAGAAACTTATACTTTTAATTGTAAGTGTAAAACTTAAATATCACTGAACAATATTAGTCTCTGGTTTTCCTGAGTAAGGTGTGTGTGTGTTCTTTTCTTTCCTTTTTTTTTCCTCTTGAGACAGAATCTCACTTTGTCACCCTCAGTAGAATGCTGTGACATCATAACTCACAGCAACCCCAAACTCCTGGGCTCAAGCAATCCTGTTCCCTCAGCCACCTGAGTAGCTGGGACTATAGCTACGCCTGGCTAGTTTTTCCATTTTTGTTAGAGATAGGGTTTTTCTCTTGGTCAGGCTAGTCTTTTTTTTTTGGAGACAGAGCCTCAAGCTGTCCCCCTGGATAGGGTGCTATGGCATCACAGCTCACAGCAACCTCCAACTCTTGGGCTCAAGCAAGTCTCCTGCCTCTGCCTCCCAAGTAGCTGGGACCACAGGCGCCCACCACAACGCCTGGCTATTTTTTGGTTGCAGCCATGATTGTTGTTTGGCGGGCCCAGGCTGGATTTGAACGCACCACCTTAGGTGTATGTGGCTGGCACCTTAGCCACTTGAGCCACAGGTGGCAAGCCATGGTCAGGCTAGTCTTGAACTCCTAAGCTCAAGCACCCCACCCTCATGGTTACCCAAGAGTACTGGGATTACAGGTGTCAGCCACCATACCTGGCTTGACCTTGTCAGTCTTTCATTGCTTTAAACGTGGTCTCCTTACTTTACTGTAGAGAAGTACTTCCTCCCCATTCATTACAGGAGATGATATCTTTTCTCCTTTTCCCCTGTCTAGATATTAATAGCTAAAACGTATATATGCAATTTGTATTTCTAAGTATTATTTTCTGAACTTTTTTCATAAAGACATTTAGTTCTTCAGCTTTCTTGTTCTATAAGTGAGAAAACTAGGACACTAGAAGAGTAAGTTATTTGTCTAAGGTTATACATGTAGTTATGTGTTTGGGTTTTTTCTTTTTCGTGGTTTTTGGCCAGGGCTGGGTTTGAACCCACCACCCCTGGCATAATGGGGGTGGTGGCGCCCTACTCCTTGAGCCACAGGTGCCGCCAAAGTTATGTATTAAAGGTAGGATTTGAACCTAGGTAGAATGGCTTTAGATATAATGTTCTTTATATCATGGTGCCTTTTCATTGACTTTACTCATTCTCTAGATCCCAGCCAAGGGTCCTTTTTCTGGTCCATATTGATAACCACTTTGTAGCAGGAAGATATGTATTATCATTATTTTTTGCTACAGAGTCTCATTATATCACCCTTGGTAGAGTGCCGTAGCATCACAGCTCACAGCAACCTCTAACTCTTGGGTTTAAGTGATTCTCTTGCTGCAGCCTCCCAAGTAGTTGGGTCCACAGGCGCCTACCACAATACCTGGCTATGTTTTGTTACAGTTGTCGTTGTTTTAGCTGGCCCAGGCTGGGTCCAAACCCACCAGCCTTGATGTGCATGACTGGTACCCTAACGACTGTGCTAGGGGCCCCGAGCCAGAAGGTATGTATTGTTATGAATGCAGTTTGACCCTGAGATTATATACGTACTGTACCAAATTGATAGTACTTAGAATATACATTGACAGTACTTAGGTAGATGAAGACCATGGAGTGTTAACTTTATTGTTTCTTTTTTTTTTTTTT